AAGGCCTCAGCCTCTCTGCCCTGTTGTTGGCCCTCCAGAGGAACTGGTAGGCCACTGTGTGAGACAGGATGCTGGACTAGATGGACCACTGGGCTGATCCAGCAGGGCTCTTCTGATGTTCTTGTCAGGGAAAGACCTCGGCCTCTCTGCCCAGTTGTTGGCCCTCCAGAGGAACTGGTTGGCCCCTGTGTGAGACAGGAGGCCGGACTAGATGGAGCACTGGTCTGATCCAGCAGGGCTCTTCTGATGTTCTTATCAGGGGAAGGCCTCGGCCTCTCTGACCTGCTGTTGGCCCTCCAGAGGAACTGGATGGCCACTGTGTGAGACAGGAGGCTGGACTAGAGGGACCCTCCCTGGTCTGACCCAGCAGGGCTCTTCTGATGTTCTTCTCAGGGGAAGGCCTCGGCCTCTCTGCCCTGTGGTTGGCCCTCTAGAAGAACTGGCTGGCCACTGTGTGAGACAGGAAGCTGGACTAGGTGGTCTCATCCAGCAGGGCTCTTCTGGTGTTCTTATGCCCTAACTCTGAGCCACAGCCCCTCCCCATGTCCCCCCACCCCGGGACGTCTTGGCAGGGCATTCTGGTTCCTGAGCAGAAACCCACTGTGCCTTTCCAAATATTCCCTCTGCTACCCTGGGAATCAAACCTTCAGGATAGTTTTTATCACATTCTATCGCTGTGCTTTCCTCCGTAGCTGTCTCACTCTTATACTTTCCCTTTTCGTAAGCCTCCTTGAGGGACGGATGCCGAAAAAAAACAACATTAAAAAGCCGTAATAAATAAAAGCTCCCCCCCCAAAAGTGGCATCTCGGGAAATGCAATTCTGCACAGAGCACACGAGATCCGAGGCACCTTCTTTAAATGAAGTATCTCGTCGTACATGTCTTCCTTCTCTTTGTAGCTCGGAGTGCCCGGGATGTAGCCTGGACAAGACACAAAACAAGAAGGGACGTTGCTGCAAACAGCGGCTACAAATGTCACAACGCCATGACAACCGTCTCACAAGAACACCAGAGAGGTGAGCCTGCTTGACGCACTGCTGAGGAGATTAAAATAATATGTCGGTTTCTGATAGTTTGGCTAGTTTTGTGACTTCGTCAGGCTGTGCCATGCACCACCCGGATATCCACAGAGGGCTTTCTTCTGGGTTCTTGTGGATCGGCACTGGATTCTTGTGGATTGGTACTCAACACTACTGATTTAGCCAACGGGTGTTGACAGTGACAAATATCGGGGAACTGAGCTGGCAATAATAAAAAATCATCACCAGGGGTCATTTCCTGCAGGAGCGCACAGGAGCGGAGCTCCGGCAGTAAACAGCCCAACGGGCGGGCACATGCAACAAGCCCCACCCCCTGCTTCCAGCAGCCCTCAGTCAGAGCAAGAAGCAGCCAGGTAAGCCGCAGAGCTACACCATGCAGCTTGACGCACTGCTGAGGAGATTAAAAAAATATGTGGGTTTTTGATAGTTTGGCTACTTTTGTGACTTCGTCAGGCTGTGCCATGCACCACCCTGATATCTACAGAGGGCTTTCTCTGGGTTCTTGTGGATTGGCACCGGATTCTTGTGGATTAGTACTCAACACTGCTGATTTAGCCAATGAGCATTGACAGTGACAAATAACTGGGAACTGAGCTGGCAATAATAATAATAATCATCATCATCACCATCATCATATGGCAGTGTGTGTAGAATAGCCAGGAGATCCTAAGATTGTCTGGCAGCCACAAGTTCTAGCTCCTTTAACGTTATGCACCACTAGATGGTGAGCTAGATGATGGGGGATTAGGCAAGAGACGTTTCAGAGGTGGTTTGCCGTTGCCTCCCTCTGAGTCACAGCCCTGGTATTCCTTGGAGGTCGCCCTTCCAAATATTTCTCCTTTCTCCGGGTGGGACTGGCGGAGAACATCTCTAACAACATGAGGCCTTGGCAAAGTTTCCCGCACGGCTGCCGCCGGACTCACCACTGGCGGCGAAACGGGCGTGTTTCGGCTTCTTCATGCCCAGGGCTTCCTTCAGATACTCCGGAGTGCCAGCGGAGAGAGCGGACCGCGTGAGACCCACGTTGATGTCGGACTTTGCCTGGCCGACCCACGCATCTATTAAAAGGGGGGAGGGGATAAGCCACTGGGGATTGCTATTCTGATGAGTCTGCGTGCCCCTCCCCCCCCAACCCAAACGAAAACCACAGCAATGGTAGTCCTGGACCCACGGAAGGAAACGCTCGATGCTATGATAGTGAGCCAGGACCCTTTGGCCGCAACACATCTACTGTCATGTTTAGGCAATTGGGACCAGGGCTTGGGCCGTAGGCTCCTTCCTCTAGTCCAGTGGTGTCGGACTCATTTGTTACGAGGGCCGGATCTGACGCAAATGTCACTAGGTCGGGCCAGGCCATGTGTGCCATAAAACTTAATGCCAGGTACCGGAGATATAAACTGCATAAAGGACAGCAGCGGGTAAGCTCCATGTTGATGCACCCTCATGGCAAGGACCCATGGGCTGGGAGGGGGGGGTCCAAAGGGAAACCCATATGGGCGGACTGGAGACCTAGCAGTGCGGCACTGGGCAGACGTCCCCGCACTGCTTGACTGCTGCAGATGAGGTTGTTCTGCCATGTTGACGCGGCTCTGCCCACTCCTCCCAAACAGTCTCCTGTTCCTCCCTTGCACTAGTTGCTCCCGGGCCGCATAAGAGCCCTGGGTGGGCCAGTTCCGGCCCCCCGGGCCTTACGTTTGACACCCTGGCTCTAGTCCCTCCATTCTTATGTGTAAATCCTCCCCCCGCCCACCACCATCTTTGCCTACCACCTTGTTGGGTCCCTGAGGGCACTTCCAGAATTCTGAGAGCAGGGGGGTGGGTGCCGGCACAAAATAGCTGCCACGGTTGACGAAGCCAACCGGGAAACTGCTGCCGTGGGGTACTGGGGACGATCGCATTTACCCCACGGCAACGTTTTCAGATTGGCCCCAGTTGTCCAAGGCAGCCATTTTTCTTCTGGGTCCAACGAGGTACGGGGTAAGCCAGGAGTGGCTCTTTGCCACGAGGAAGTTAACGCTGTGGGGAAGAGGCTAAAATGAGCACCAGGACGCCCACCAGGAAGAGCACCGGGGATGACTGGCTGGGGGCACAGAATGTTTTTTTTTTTAACCAGTTTATTATTTATATCATACATATCCACATATCGAATAAAATACATATATAACTGCGAGTCACTTTTTTTGTCTCCTCTAGCCAAACGTAAAACTTCTTCCATCTTTGTTCAAATATTTCATATTATTTTCCCTGCAACAAAACATTTAGTCTATCCATCTCAGCTATTGTCAACATCTTGTCTAACACTTCTTCCTTAGGAGGAATTTCCCCCCTTTCCAGTATTTTGCTAGTGTAATCCTTGCCGCAGTAAAAGTGTAACTTATTAAATATTTATTCTCGCTCCTATAATTACTTGGAATCATATTTAACGGGGCAATCTCTGGTATGAATGGAATATCTATTCCTGTAATTTCTTGTAGCATTTTATATATTTTAATCCAGTAATTTTGGATTCTTCCACATCTCCACCAACCATGTATAAAAGTACCAACATGGTTCTTACATTTCCAACAATTTTTGTTGGCCTTTCCAGAACATTTTGCTATTCTATCTGGAGTCCAATGCCACCTATGAAACATCTTCAATATATTTTCTTTATATGGAATTGCTCTCATCATTTTTGCTGAACCCCATATTTTAGACCATTGTTCTTCTTCTATGAGATGTCCCACAGAATTGTTAAATGTTCACCGGCGCTCTGCACTGAACAGAAGTCATTCCACTAGAACCGGCTTCATCAGCCAAACCCTTGGATGTGACACTTGTTGTGCACGTCTGTGATACAACCAGAAGATGCTCTCTCCACTCAGGGCTCCATTTCTTGTTAATTCTGAAGTGTGGGGCTTTGTTTCAGGCTGAGAGGAGGGGAGGCATTAAAAAAAGGGGCAAGAGTAACAATGGGAACTCTGCAAAGATAACTGGAGAAAATTAGGGCCACGGGAATGGCAGCACCTGCTCAGTGAAGGAGAAGCACCGGAAATAGAGGAGCACCAGAAATGTTTTTATGATATTTATTTACTTGTTTATTAACTGTCTATTGTAATTTAACATTTTATACTGTTTCATTGTTATTACCTGGCATTGTGCCCTGTTAGCCACCCTGAGCCTTCGGGGAGGGCGGGATAGAAATCCAAATAAATAAATAATAAATAAATAAATGGGGACGAAGCTGCGCTCTGGCCCATAGCCAGGATTTTGTGGCTTGGGGGGCAAATTTTTTTTCCTGGTGGGGCTGAAGTTCTCAGTGCAGAAAGAAAAGCCAGAATTC